GAGGCATGTTTGGTCCAACTTACATAGTTGACCTGGCCCATATAAAACCTGAATGACCATTTACCTGTTAAGAATCTGCTAAGAGACTTACAGTATTGGCTTGTAGCTCCTGAGGAAGGACCTGAAGTCCGAAACACTAATTTATACCTAGGAAAAGTGTTGAAATGTGGTGGACATCTGACTTCATTGTGGACATCTATTCCAGACTTGATTGTTATGAGAGATTGTTATTCTGGACTTTGTTCTTTTCCTTTGGGGTATTACGAATTTGTGTACTGTCCTATGATGGATTACATGCATTACTTATTGTATTGAAGTCTCTTTTCTATTGCTCTTGGGTGGGTGGGTCAGTGCACAGTTGTTATTTATTGGTTTTTCTCGGTCACCCACGGTAGCCAAGCAAAGCAAGCACGTGCGGCTGTGCAAAGGTAGGGATGAAGGTAAACAAAGAAAGCATGGCAGCTAGCTGACCGGAGGCTGGAACTGGGTTTTGGTATTTGTCATGGTACCTCTCTCTTATTTTGTGTGGTTAGGTATGATGTGGTTTTAAATTCCTTGTTGTTTCTTTCTTTCTCTCACTCAGTGTATGTCGTGCTGCCACCAGGAATTCCATTCCAGTCTTTAATTAACCTTCCCCACCGTATTGTGCCCAAGCTCTAAGGTTCCTTCGTTGGACTATTATGTGGTTCTGAGGACAAGACTCCGGGTTAACAATAGACAAGAGAAAACTATCGGTAAAGGACCCGTATTGGTTACAAGATGTTTTGTCGAGTCGCTTAGTAGAATCTTCTCCCCCCTTTTACTCAGGTCTCCGACACCTTTTCCCCCTCACACTCTTAAAATACTCTGGCAATATTAGATTTTGCCTAAGATGCCCCCTCAAGTATATGTTCTTCTTCCTTTAGAATCTTAATGCCTTTCACAGCACTTCTCTGTGATTCTAGTGAGAAGACTGCTTCTCAGACTCTCTGTAGATTGACCCCAACTGACAGCTATTACTGCTGACTTCAAACTTCAAACTGAACACTCTGCATTCTCTCTCTACCAAAACACACACACACACACACCCCTCTTAGCTCTGCCCACACACTCTCAGTCACCCACCAGTCACCTCACTCACTCATCTCCCTCTTTCACCCCCCATTGTTCTTCTGACACTTACCAACCATTTAAAGAAACATACATAGGCCCCGGTCACACGGGAGGATTTGCCCCGTGAAGCGGATGGGTTGAGGGTGCATCAAACGGGCGTGATCAGATGCCAACATCTGGCAAGCATCGCGCCCCCGCCCCCAACTCATCCCTTCCACCCGAAAACGCGGATCAAAAAGGTACGAGGGAAAATGTCGTACCTACCGGAAGATCCGCAGCAAGGCCGGGTGTGGGATCGCGGACGCGCCAGCAGCCTGTGTTATTCGAGGGACTGCCGGACTGTGCATACACACAAATCCTCCAGCAGCCTCGGCTTGCCCGTCTTTGCCTCGCTTCCCCCGGCCATGTGATCGCGCCGGACAGAATATGCGCGGCAGCTCGGGGGAAGCGTCTGATCCCGATGCCGCACTTTCCTTTGGTGCAGCTCTAAGAAGCCGCACTTCCGGCGCGGCTTTTCCTGCCGGTGTGACCGGGACCATACATAACTTGAAATCATTACAGTGTTCCTCAGGGGAAGCTGTCTCTCCTGCGCACTGGCCATGAAGGATGACAGAGGGGAATGATGCTACAGAGGGAGGAGGGCATCTTGCAACTAACAAAGACCAGATATACCATGGATTGTTAGCATCTAGCTATAGTAACTCTCCTTTTATTATTTTAGTGCACCTAGATTTGTTTCTTGTAGTACCCTGAGTCTGTGCATTACAAAAATAAATTGGAGAGAGTCTGCACAAGTCCTTACCCACTGGCCTTTTTTTGGGGGGGAGTTTATACCTTGCTTTTCTCTACCTGAATGAGTCTCAAAGCAGTTCCCTTGCCTTCCTCTCCCCACAACAGGCACCTTGTGAGGTAGGTGGAA